TAATATTTGTGAAATTTCTGTAAAATTATATATAGTTAAATAAAATATATTATGTACCAGTTCAGAATGAACAATTCCATTATCATGAAGAGCTTTTAGACCTTCAACCACCTGTTTTGTCAATATTAATTTTTCATTCCACGAGAGCAGAGTATTCCTTAAATAATCACGCAAGTTCCCGTTATTCGCGTGTTCTCGGACAATGTAATAATTATTATTTTCTATATTACATATTATAAGATTAATTCACCTTTATTTCTGGCATTTATTTTAATATATACAAAAACTCACCGCATGTAAGACCAAAAACTTGGAGCACGTTTTCGTGTTCACATGATTTAAACTATAATAAATATAGTTTTGATATTTTGTATTTATTAATTAGATTCATATATTAGATTGTTCAAAAACAACGCTAATGTTAAATGAAAGACTGCTGCAGATTCATCACTATTCTTAAAATATATAATAACGTAATTTCTATGAATACATGCCTCAAGCTCTAATCTATTAAATTCATTATTTTCTATTGAATTCAATGTTATTATTTTATCTCCAAGAAGTTTTACGGTATTGTTAGATTTGACATATTCATCTTTATTTGGTAAGTCTTCGAACTCGCCATATTTTATTATGGGCGTCATCTTATAATACACTGTTTTTCATATAGCATACACTGAGAAATTTGTTGAAATTAAATGAAAAAAGAAAGTCTTTTAATCTTGGAAACTCAGTTTAGACTTTAATTTTAATTCCGATAGTGATCTATACATCTATACATCTAAACAGATGATCTAGTTAAAAATTGATTTACCTTATTCCGAAATATGAAAACATTACACAAAATTTATGTAAAAACAAATCCTTTCATCATTTACTTTTTAAGGAAATAAAAACTTATTTATGATTGTCATAATCGTTATCTTTAAATGTAAATCTTAAAAAAAGAAATCATATTGATAACATGCCATTTGTTTTCCGAAATTCAATCAGTAATATTTATGGAAGCAAAAGGTCACACCTAAATAAAAGAGAAATAAATTTATATATTCTTATAAAATGAAATTATTAAATATAGATCCCATTAATCTATTTTAAATGTTAAAGTTGAATGATAAGATTTTACTTTGACCGAACAATAAATTCGGCTGCACTTAAAAGAGTTTGTTCTATGCGAACATACATTATAAGCATAGTCAGTAAGATAATATACTGTAGTTATTATCGAATTTCAAAAGTATTATTTTAAGAATAAATGCAAAAAATCGACACAGTCGTAGTTGAGCTTAGCCAGCTAAGCCGATTTTTTAAATATCGACTTAGTCAAGTCGATAAATATACCAGCATGATAGAAATTGGGTTTGATTGGCTAAAAAAATGATCGACAATTTTAAATAACAAATTGTAATTGGTTAAAACCAAGATTAACTTCGCGATACCCTTTTTATGGGGGTCGGCTAAAGCGGAGCGAGATTTAGTTAGGGTTATGGTTACTTTTTTGATAATTTTGATTATTATTTATATATAAATATCAATAATACGATTTATACTATATGTAGACCATATATTGAATTAACTCCGCTTTAGCCGACCCCCTTTTATGGTTTTTTGTAAAACCGATTGACTGATTAATAATACGTATCTAACATATATCCTTCTCACGTGAAGTTCGAAACTTTTAAAAAAGCTGTAGATTTTTATTAGCTATTTCATTTTAAAATGCCAAAAATTTAATATACAGTCACACCCCCCTAAGTGCACACCCCCTAAGTGCAAGTACTATGTAAAACCTCTCTAAATGCAAGTTATAGGTTGGCCCCAACTTATAAGAACCTTATATATTTTATTCTCTATAAGTGCAAACCTCCCCTAAGTGCAAATTTTTGATTTTTTTCACTATGGTCCCAATGGCATGCACTTAGGGAGGTGTGACTGTAATACCTTTGTGTTACATACTGGTATCATCAGAATCGCCAAACGTTTATATGAAAGTTATGCTTCTAAAAAAACAATCCGATAAAATTTTAGATGATCTTAATTATAAAAAATTTTAACTTGTCCAATTCGAATTAAAATTTCTATTGTAAAAAAATTTTGTGTAACAATACTTTTCAATATCATGCTTATCGTTCCACACTACTCACTTATATCTCGCACGCCTATAGTAGACCATAATTCAGATGTAATGTAAAATCAAAACAAAACGTTTTGCTTCGATTTAGTTAGGGTTAGGGCAGGTTCGATTTAGGGTTAGGGCGGCATAGTTTATATTAAAATTTTGCAAGGAATTTTTCTAGTTGGAACACGAAAGGCTGTTTTCTATGTAAAATCTTGAGTTATTAGAGATTTTTTTTTTAAAAAAAAAGTTTTTTCGCTATTTTTTACGTTTGCACCTAATCTTGAAATTTGATTGGTAGGCGACAAATAAATGCATTATTGTGCAAAAATTAGCCAATTAAAACAAAACGCGATAAATAAGAGAACCGCACCCATGCTAGATCTAGATTAATCCTTATTTTAATATTAAAAGTAAGCTTTTTTGCACAATTAATTATCTAAATATTCAAAAATACTAGACATCGATAAATTCGTATGCTATATCAATGGTTTCATATATGTAGAATTACTGTTACCGCATTATGGAAATTCGATGCTCATAAAACATCCCTTCTAAATTGAGAACATTTTTTCTATAAAAAAAAAAGATCTCTTATATTTAATAATCATGAGCACATTAGTTTGAGTAAGCCTTAATAATAATAGCCAGAACATTTTTTAATAAATTAAAGGACATCAATTTTTAACAAATATATCCAAGTGAACTTTAAAATCAATTCGAATTTCCAACACTGATTGTAATACGGCAATGCAGGATTTT